GTAAATAACTTCTCAATATGACCTAATCAACTCTTGCTTTCAACTTGAGTTTCAATCACATTCATGTCTTGTTTGTTAGGATCACAATGAAAAAAAATGTACTTTTAATAGTAGTATTCGTTATGTACTAAACTATTGTATCATACTAGTTGGTGATCTCGACCCAAAAAAGGTCTTTAGTTTCGTGATGAAATTGTAGGCACTATCTTGTCTCTATATATGGACCACGGAGAGAAAGAAATAACAACTAATTAATGTGCTTTACTCGATTTTGTTGCACTCCTTACTCTAATTATATAGACTTATAAAGGTGATCTGAGTTGATTAATAGTATATTTTTATTTTACAAGATGTTTTCATTTTTACATGTCGAATGATTGCAGGTATTTACTTGACACCATGAATCGAGCCTAAGTACGTCATATTTATTGGGGACAAATAAAATAGTGAATTCTTTTACTTTTTTAGGAGAAAAAACTTGTTTGTTTTGTAGCTTAGTGAAGACAATAATACTATGTTTTTGAATTCACCCCCTTTTTACGCCTTTTCAATTCTACAAAGACTATTTAGGAATTAATATTTCGAGATTCAGCCAGGATATAATTCACCTCCTTAAATTCTTCCTTTAAAATATTTGGATTTTTTTTTAGCAAAGAAACGAGTGAAAAAATCAAAACGAGAGCAAGTCTTAAGGAAGCTAAGTAGCTTAGTTAGTTAAATATTTAAACTTTCATTTTATTGGTGAGAATTCGATTCCCTACAGTGTAATCTCCTCCCCGATTTCCCCTTCCCCTTCCCCACCATCAATTCTTTTCCACCTATCTAACCTTCTTTCTTTCTTTCAAGTCATATATACCTTTACCAAGAAAAAAATGCACCTTAATTAATGGGTCGTTTGGTGTGTCAGACAAATGGGATATTCATTAGTTGGGCTAACTTATGAAGTAGGAACTAGGTAGGGCATTTGAGCCCACATTTAGAAATGGAATTAAGTTATAGGCCCACATGCTCCATTCCTGTGCTAATTGTACATAACCTAGGTAGGTGGGTTCTATATGACCAGACAAAGGTGTGGGCTGGGCTCCTCTACTATGAGTTGGGTTTTGGGCTCATCTTTTGGGTCCACAAATACACTATCGGGTCCTTATCGACTGTATTCATGTCGCTCAATTTAAACTAATTTTTCTAACACTAGAAGTTCTATACATTTTCGATTGGCTCTGCGTGACTAAAGACTTGTAAATAAATGTTGAACCTTAACATATATACTAACATGATTATGATTTAATCCCAACTTATCTATATCATCACTATATATATAGTTCTTCTAGTTAAGAAATTGTAAATCCACCTTCTTTCATGTGCTTTATCAACAAAAGTCAAACCTAACTCCCTTTTAGTTATTACATATTCTATTGGTTTCTTTAGCATTGTGGCATTGGTCTTGATGCTTTATTGGGCCTTAACGATCAAAATTCAATCTACACATTGGGCCAATTCAAGACATCATTACACCAAAAATGATCTTTTAGTGATAATTAATTAACGTAATAATTTAATTGCCGCTAAATACGTTTATTTAGTGACACAAATAGTATACTTTTAGCTATCTTTATAAATGTTACTAAAGCCTATTGCGATATTGGATTAAGTAATGTCGGTAAAGACTTTAACACTCTTTGTTGATGTACTTATTTATTACCGTTAAAAGTTATTTTTGTTATTGCGCATATTGTTGATTCAAATTAACTAAATACTCAGGTTGGCTATAAAGAGCACAATGCAAGGCTAAATACTTATGGTTGATCGATTAGTGAAGTAATATAGTAAGGAAAAGGTGAAAAGAATCAAATAACACATAGGCCATGAATTGAAAAATATTTCAATAAATGCACCAAATGGTTTTATAGTTTCTTGATTTATAATTCTGAATTTCAAGATAATATAACGACTGGTTTCACAATTAAATTATTATGTTATATTAATAATATTCTTTTAAAAACAAGAAATACAAAAATGAAGTTAAAATTATTAAATTTTATCGAAACATTAACTCGTTAGGTTCCGTGTATTCTAATTATATATATAAGTCGGAGATATTCATCAGTCTAAAATAAGTACGTTAGGTATTTGATTAGGTAGCTTTTATAGGTGATGAAAAATTCATAAATCTTTTTCGTCATAGTTGTATGATTAAGCCGATTCCTTTTCAAAGTAGTCCATCCTTAATTAATTAATATTTCTACCAAACAAAATAAAAATAAAATACTTTGATTAGGTTTACAACTTTTCACATTCCATACACATATATTATTAACTGAAATCATAAACTTTAAACTAATTACTATGATTAAAGTTAATTTACCAAATTAATTCTTAATTAATATTCTGCCTCTTCAACTTTACATCCGTTACGTTAGTCTCTATGACTACTCTATGTACACCTATAAATAACCATCCCCCAAAAAATCATATTTTCCATTATATTCCACGTACTATATACTATATTTTCATATTTACCTTTTCAATATGGCACCTTTCAAACTTTCACTAATACTACTTGTTTCATGGCTTCTAACAACTACTACTATAGCAACCAACATGTCCAAAATTAAACCTGGCCAAGGTATTGCTGCTAGACTTCAAGTACTAGAAGGCGGAGACGGAGGAGGAGAAGCTAGCATGCCAGTATGTTGGAACGCGTTATTTGAGTTGAAATCGTGTACGAATGAGATCATACTCTTCTTCTTCAATGGTGAATCTTATTTAGGGAAAGATTGTTGTAGAGCTATAAGAACTATAACTTATAATTGTTGGCCTTCTATGCTAAGTTCCGTTGGTTTTACTGCTGAAGAAGTTGATATTCTTCGTGGTTATTGTGGCACCCCTTCACCTGAATCTGCTGTAGAGTTTAACGTCTAATTAAGATAATTTTTGCATACATGCAAAGGTGAAATTAGGATTTCGAGTTTTATGAGAAAAAGTACTTTTGGATTTAATAGTAATAATTTTGGAATGTGCTAAATTTGGTTATAATATATATGATGAACAGCGCTAGCTTTTATTGGATTCCAATGATATTTGTCTTTTATCACCTTTTTTTTTTCACCCGAATATTCTTCATTAAAGTTTTGCATGATGATGTTATATAAGAGAAAGTTATGATGATTTTATGGTGGGGGCTATATAATGAGCAAAATCAGAAAAAGGAATATATGTAAATATTTGAGCAATCATAAATCACACACCAATTATAGCTTGTGAGGACTTAATGATAATATATAGTATAAGTGATACAATAGATATACTTATCATCAGAGAGATTGTGATGGATTGATAAAGTATATATTTCATATTTTTGATTTTTTGTGTATTTAATTACGTTTTTGCATTGCCCTTCCAAGACATGCATCTCGCAAAAGGCAAATAAATTGTCTTTGTAGTAAACATTCTAATCCTTAAAAAAGAAATTTTCTAATACGAAATTAAATTACTCGTGATTTAAAATGGATACCAAGAATATGTACTATTACTTAATCATAATTAAGTTATAAACTTTTATGTGAAAGATGCATGTCTTATATTAATAGAGTATAGTATAATGATCACTCAATATAAATAAGTATTAATTTATCATAATCAGACCTACTAATTAGGTCCCCACGTGGATTAATAGCATCTAATGATTGTTAACCATAAAACTTGCAAGCAAAATATGAATAGAAAAAGTTGTAACAGCTGAAAATTAATTATTGGAGAAAAAAAGAGACTGTTTTCCTCTTTTAACTTGTAATCGTATTATATACGTTGACATTGACCTATGATACTATTCTTTTATATTTGCTTTTCACTATAAACTAAAAAGAATAATTCAATAAATGACTACTTTATTTGTTTTCTAGAACTAATACGACATACTATACCAAATCAAATTGACAACCAATACTAAATATATATATGTAGAGAGTAAAATCTTGAGAATGAGTTCTGAGTTCTGACCAAGTCATGACCATTAACTATTAATTATTTTCCTTTTATTCATAACTTTCTTTTCATAAAAGTTATATGCATATGATATTTATATTAAATTATTAATATAAATGATGCATGTTTAATAGTAATTACTTAATTATATCTAGTTAATATATACTTTTTCACTTATTAATTACTTAGCATCTTAATCATAGATTCATATTAATTTAAATTAATTTGATGTAGGTATTCAGATAACCAGATAAGTATTCACCATATTTATTTTCTTTATATTTTACAATCTTGCTTCTTTTTCTTTTTTGAAAAAATAAAAGAGAAGAGATTGATCTTTCTTCTTTATTTTTGAAATATTCACCTCGGAAAGCGAGTAGGACAACTAAAATTTTCCTACCTTTAGTTAAATGTCTCAATTTATGAATTTAAACTTTAAAATGAAGATATTTTTGGTAAAAAAACATTTTTCTATTACAAGTTTGAAAATTAATTCAAATGTAAGGATCTTAAATCAATAGAAAAGGAAAGAATGAACAAACTTTGCAAATCGCTCCGGATCAAGACCTAAAATGACAACCTAGCTAACTGAGTATGCTATAATTGACAAAGGCAAACAAAGCCCGTGCTCCCAGAGCCAGAACACAGACACCAACCTCTCTACCGCTAACACAAGTGAATAAGAAATTAGAAAAGGTGCTATGGTGGCGATAGCACAATTTAGTTATGAAATTTAAAGTGTAAATACCTAATATCGTGAATTAAGAAATTCGAATAATATACATACAAAGACGCTGACTAATTACTTGAAAATAAGGATCATATGTTATTTATTCAATTCCAATTCTATGCGATACAAATCTTATTAGTCGAACAAGTGAATTCAGAATATCAAATGATCATATTATAAAAGAAAGAAATAATACAAAAAATATTCCTCAATTTTTATTTTTTAATTTGCCAGTAATTCAACATAGCTAAGTATAAGTTATTAATTTGTGGGAGCCACCCCCACCTCCCCATGTTCAACAACATGATGTCGGATTCAATCAAATTACTCTAACGCTTAAACCCTTCTCCTCTTCCTATTTTCCCATCATTTTCTCCGTCCCTCCTCCTCCTCCTCCTTTCTCCGCCTAAACTTCCGGCCGACGGCACTAACTCCGGCGTGACGTCTGACTTTAATTTAATTAACTCAAAAACACTTAGCCGTTGAGTAGTGAATCAGCCCCCAACACCACCTTTCGTAGTTTCTCCGCCATTGCTAGTCGCTTGTATTTTTTCGGTGCATTTATGGAAACTTCAAGTGGGTATCTGAATTATCATCAAAATTCCTCTTTTGGTTCTTCTAGAAGAGATGTCTCTTACAGGTTCGCTTACTTCTGCACCTTTTTTTTGAAGTGAAGAGTCTTAATTTAATATCTGATTAAAATAATTGTGATTCAAATTAGAGTTTCTATTTGAAGTCTTGATTTTGAGTTTAAGTGTGCTATTAGGTGGTATAATTAGTGGGTAATTGGTGTTTCATGGTTCTCAAAGTATTAATTTAAGAGGAATCTTATGATGGTGACTTGAACTTTTTATTTTTTAGAACTAGGTTTCTGTTTTGTGGTTCCATTTTTAATTTCTTAAGTAATAACACATACTTTAATATCCAAAAGGGAAAAATTGTCATTGGGAATTGGAATTTGTGGGTGGTAAGTATCGAGTCTGGCCATGTTTTGGTAGGTGCACTAATTAATTTTTGTGGAATCATTTGCTGTGTGGGTTGGTTGGATTTTGCTGTTGGAATAATCATATCAATTTTAGGGGGAAATATATGCTCATCTTGAGCTGCAATTATTTAGGTCAAATCGGACTCAAGTTTATTCGAAGTATCTCAATGGTGTTACATTGTCGACTTTTTAGGAAAGAGGAGGAAGATGACTTCAATCTCTTGTTTGGTTTTGGAGAAATAAATGGCTCACGAGGAATGGAAAGAAACATATTATATTTGATCTCTAAGTTCGTGCATAGATGATAGAAATATTGAGTGTGTCATCACTTGTAGGAATGACATAACGGTTTTGATCTCATTATGACTTGGTTGTTTGGAATAGCAATTAATTTAATCAGAAGATTCGTGAGAGTATGAAAATACTCAAGTGGCAAAAGGTGGAGGATTTGTGGCTTAGGTCGCAGGTTCAATCCCCACACCATGCAAAGCGAAGCCCAGTATTTAAGTGGAGAAGGGTAGAGGGGCGGGCCCATTATCCACCGAGTTTAGAAGGCTGTGATTGGTCCAAAGGGTGGGTCACAGACGGATTTCTCGGTTATAAAAAAAAAACTAATTGAGTTCCTTCTGTTTTAAGTTTAATTTCCATGTTAGTGAGAACACATGTTGTGTAATTTAGACGTTTATTTATAGAGTGTTAATACCTGCACTTCTGCTGTTCTTGGGGAAAAAAGAATTAGTGTTGTATTAGGTAATGGAGTGAGTGAAGTTAAGTGTATATGCATTTTAATCTACCTCCCTATTGTTGGCATTGCTGCTCGGATATGGAGAAGCGAGAGTTTGAACACATGGGAGTTGGGACAAAGAACTTGCTGTTTTTTCTTACTTAGTTGAGGAGTCAAGTTTCTTTAGCTAAAAATATTAGATTATATTGTCCTTATTTTTGTTGCAAAAAAAGCTAGAGATTATACTATAAGAAATTTAACTGAATTATAAGGTAAATATTATATCTTTTATAGGAATTCATATTTGATATGAGACAAACTGTACCTGTCTCAATGTTGTAGTCTCACTCTTTCTCTTGAAGGATTTCAGCTACTTGTTTGCATTTCATTTGGTGCTACACTGCTATCTTGTGATCTTCTACTTATTTCAAGTTACGAAATTTTCTAGAATCTTTTCATTCTGCTTTGGTTAAAGATCTCATTGTATCGTTCCTTTTTAATTCATAAAAAAAGAAGAGAGAGAAAAGGTAAACCATGTCTTGTTCCTTTATTCCTTTAAAATGAAATTTTAGATACGGCATTTAGGCAACAACCATGTCTCATTCTTAAACTAGTTGACACTTGACTGTTAGCTATATGAATCCTCATTGTTCATGTCGCCTCATTTAAAGCTATCTCGATTCAATATTTAAAAATTTAGTTTCTTTAACACTAGTAAATTTTTTACTTTTTCTATTGATAAACAAATCTTTAACAAGGCTAAAAAAAATCCTATCTAAAAAAAGACTTATAGTAAATTTATCAACATGATTAAACTTTATGGTTTATCCAACTTGTTGTTTTGATGAAAAAACTTAATCCAACTAATTGGTAGCCCCGATATTATTTCTTTTATTCTATTGTGTCCTATTTCACTGGGTCCCATGGGCTCCAAGAGATTCTAGGTATTTTGATACTTCATTCCATATGATTTTTTTCTTTCTATCTCATCGCTATTAACTCCTTAAATCACTGTGGTTTTTTCACCTATAGAGTATTTCTCCATGGTTCGAGCATTTGGTTGACGTCTTTGCTAGATTCGTCAATTAACACAATATCGCTTATAAAGAGCATACTACCATGTGACATATGTTTAGTTAGTTCATCTATAATTAGAATAAACAAGTACAGCCTGAATGCTAATCTGTGGTATAATTACTTCTAGGTATTTTGATACTTCATTCCATATGATTTTTTTTTCCATCTGATCGCTTCTAACTCCTTAAATCACTGTGGTTTTTTCACCTATAGAGTATTTCTCCATGGTTCGAGCTTTTGGTTGACGTCTTTGCTAGATTCGTCAATTAACACAATATCGCTTATAAAGAGCTTACTACCATGTGACATATGCTTAGTTAGTTCATCTATAATTAGGATAAACAAGTACAGCCTGAATGCTGGTCTGTGGTATAGACCCCCGATTATGGAAAACTCATTTATTTTTCCTACCACTATCTTACACTAGTGTTAGCTCCTTCATACATGTCCTTTATGACATGTATATGTTAATATGAATTCATTTTTTCTCCAACAACCACCAAAAGATTTCTTGTGATGCTCTATCGTATGCTTTCTCAAGGTAAATAAACACCATGTATAGATAGTGGACAGATAATTTCTTAAAGTTTAAAGTTTGACTAAAATCTGATTCGGTTATCGACATTGCATTCTCAATCCTTGACAATCACCCTAAAGTTGTAATATGTCTTACATTCAAGTCATTTTCTTGGTCTTGTGAAGATCACAGCTAAAATAAAGGGGGGAAAATGAGGGCTCCGACCACTTTTGATAGATACTGGACAGCTTAAATTCTTAAGTTCAAACTAATGTTCACACGACCATAAGTAAGGCCTTAAAATTGAAGAAACCTATTAAATTTGTAAAGAAAACAAGGGGTTTTGTGGACATGTTTGAGCTTTAATAATCAAATAGAAATCCTTTAGAAGCTTCTCTGTCTATGGGTTGAAAATTGCAGTTTGATTTTTCACATATGAAAATGGACAAGTAGAGCGAGGAAGGTGACAAAAGAATTGTCTCTTAAATAAAATATCACCAACGCATTAAGTTTTCTCTTCTCTCATTTTCTCCTGCCTTCTGAATTTTCCTTCTTTACATCCCAGCATGGTTTTCGTTTCTTGCTGTATCTTTGGCATGTTGGTCAAGGGGTTTAATGCATGTATTGTTCATTCGGTTTACATCTAATTGAGTTATTGACTTGAAACATCTATTTCATGGATGAAAGTTGGTACCTTTGTGGTTCATCACTTCATCTTAGTTGGAGATGTTATAGCCACTTGTTCAGATTTCACCATTGAAGATGAGGCTATGGTTTGCCATTAGAATGATGTTATATGAACTTCTTATCGAGGGGATATTTTGGTTATAGATTAATATATTGACAGTTTTGTTCTCATTGAATCGTGAGGTTCATTTTTTAGGTTTCGATTATTGATAAGTACACCAATTATCTCTAAAGAGTTCCATATACTGTACTACTTCTAATAACAGGTTGTCAGTAATATAGGGTAGTTTTGAAAAGTAGTGAATAGATGAATTGATATTAGCCTTTCACAATGTAGTGCTCTATTATCGGGAATGAAGTTATTCACATTTGTCAATGTTGGATGAAAAGTTTGGCTATCGCTGAATCATTGAAGATCTTGAACTTTAGGGCTCATGGGTGTGATTCTACATGTTGGATATTAGTCTCAGTATCTTTTAGTGCAAAGAAATGGCTCCATATCGACTTTGAAGATTTGATGGTGTTGCTTAGGATTTAGCCATTTTCTGGAAAGTGTTTTCTAGTAAATCTAATTACTCAACCAGCAGTGTATTTTGGGCAAAAGTATCTGCCGTAGATTTTGTCATTGATAGAACACGTTAGGGGTTCTTTTTCTTTCTTTATTTTTCTTGGAAGAGAGGGCAACAATGTCTGATATAATTTCTTTCAGTGAGCTAAAAAAATTTACCTAGTCAAAAGCGAACAGTGCAAAAAGGCACTAAAGTCGGTTTGAGGTTGAAGCACAAAGCACATTTAAAGCTTGGGTTTTAGAGGAAAAAGCCATCATGATTGCTATTGTTCTTTTGGATTTTCAGTTAAATAACTGTCATTACCTTTTTTTGTCAATTAGATCTGTGAAAACCATCATTTTGGAGTTTGTGCTTTTCATAATGTTTTTTTGAACTCCAAACAAGTAAAAGTAAAATTGAATTTGCACCAAGTAGCAAAAAAGGAAAAAGGGAATGGACACCAGTCATGGCTTAGCAAAAGTTGATTCGATGCCAAACAAAAACTCATCTCCCTGGTTATGGTTCTATATGAAACTTAGCAGAGACTATATTTATACCTACTTATGGTTTACGCTAGAATGTCTGAGAACTTGAGATGTATCTGTTGTTTGGAATTCCTATTTAAGGCTGATTAGTAGCATAACTACCTCCTATTATATAAAGGTAAAGTAATTCTGAGGTAAGCTTCACATTTTGTGCAGAACTAGCCACTAGGAACCTGAAGCATCTAAATCGTAAAGAAAATTGAGATACAGTTTTTAGTCTACACTTCTGAGAAATGCGGGTGCTTTTTTGATTTTTTACTAACTCCGTCTTCTTAAAGAGGGGTTAACCGGTCACAAAGTGCTCCCCGGCGAGTGTGCTGGTAGGGGCAGGTTGGCATACATAGAGTTCCTCTTGCCTGCTTAGTTTTATTAAAGAGAATGATGCCTGTGTGTGAATCAGAATGAACCTCTAATGGACATGGGTCATTCTAATGTTGTATGCTTTGTTAGTATATGAGGTGTGTATTTGCTAACTGTCCCAAACATAGAGAAATGGTATGTGAGCGAAAAGTGAAAAAAAAATCATTTAATCCAGTTATTTGGATTAACGTATTGGTTCTACCGTGGATTGTGCCATTCTTTCTTTTACCTTCGTAGATATTGTCTTTACTTATTATGTCTAACTGCTTCTTTAGCAACACAATCATCTATCTGATTTGTTTTTTATGCAGCTGTGGCAGTTGTGGGTACGAGTTAAACCTTAACTCATCAAGTCGCAATACTGCTTCCATTGGATCCAAGTATGGGAAGTCCATTAAGAAAGGGATGATCTCCTTCTTGTCCATTGATGAGAGCAGATTTACCCAGGTTGATGAATTCAAGTGTGTACCGTTCTTTTTCTCCAAACGTTCTTGGGGCTTGTTCCAGCGGCGAACAAAACTTCAGTGCAGAAAATGTGGTAACAATATTGGAATTGCTTATGATAATAGTGCTTCTTCTTACCCACTTGTAGCCGATGCATCAGATACAGCCTCTGGTAGTGAAATAACCACTCATAGGAAATACGATATCAAAATCCGCTCGTTGCAACCGTCTTCGTCAGCATCGGGTACTCCTCTCCCTGAGTGATATATAATGCCTGTGAATAATTCTTCTGTTGAGGAAAGTTTGGCATGTATTTATGATCATGCAATAGCACTTTGCTGAAATTTTAAAATTCGAGGTGCTTTTTAGTTTCCCGTTATATTACTTATCAAGTAAATAAGACTGATCAGATTACAGGCTTGGTTGGAGGATATGTATAATTTTCTTGCTATCCATCTCTCAAGAGGTGGGCAAGCGCTCTTTTGGGGGATGTAGTTTGTATTTTGTACATAAGAAACAGGACTGTCAATGAGGTGTGGATTTGAAGCAGCTAAGTTTAGCATTTGTCATTTTTGATTGTGTGTTTTGAATACCTAGCAGGCAATCTTCAAGCTGTCACAACTTACGTCTATAAATTCATGGCTGCTTGGATCAGTGCTCTCTCTCTCGCACACACACACACACACACACACGAGGGTGGCCTTAGCTGTTACTCTTGTGTATTTTACGGGCTTTTCTAGTTTGTGTCTTGTTTGTCAACACATTCTAATTGAAAATTTAGTTGATCGTTGGCTGTGAGAGATCTTGTAGTTGAAGAAATAGGTGTTGACAACAATCAATAGAACATAATCGGGTTTGGGGGATGGTGGAAGCAAATAAGAGAACATTAGATGTTGTGGTTCATGAATGTATGTTCCTCTTAAGTACACATCCTTCTATGAACTGTACGAGTAGTCTCTCTTCCCCCAACCGTGCTAAACATCCTTACAAGCTTTGGATTCTGATCGAGAAAGAGATTACAAAGCAAGTGAAACTGTACCTCCCTCTTCTCGTTGGTGTCTGATGTTTAACTTGTTTGTGCTACTAATACTTATTGTGCACACACATTTATCAGTATTTATCTCTTACATAACTTGATCATATAAAAATTCATATAAGCTGTTCTTGTTACCTTATAGCTCCTTTAGTTTTCCTTTCTCAAGTCATCCTTTTAAAATATTATACTAGTATTCATAGGTACCCAAGAAAAGACTACTAATTGGACTTTTCAGCCATTATGGACCATAAAAGCCCAGTCCACACACTACAAATTGTGCAACAAGATCGTACACAAATTCTAGCATGAAATTTGGAGTTCATTCGGATAGTTTTGAGTCGAGAGTCTATTGAAAATCACTTTTCTACCTTCATAATTTATTTGTGGGATTACATTAGTATGTTGTTATTTTAGTGTTCACATAATTGTTTGACCCCGTCTATTGTACAATTTGCACTATTATATACTACAATGGACATCATTCAATCAACAAAGAACAATCAATATGGTTCAATTATTTCAAGCAACATTTATTAGTTTTACCCTTTAGTCAATGCTGGTTAATACTATATAGACTGCTTCAATATGTGACTCGTACAATTGAGACTCTTTCCCATAGTAAGTTCTAAAATGGATCCATAAAGGAGAAATAGAGCTCCCTTCTCCATATTTTTTTTTCTTTCAAGTTTACCATATCCAATATTCGATATATGTATTGGAGTCTGATTAAATTTAAATTCAAGCATCACAGGGCTCATTTTTAGAGGCGACACTCTCAAGTCTCAACAATTTTTTTCATTCCCATAGGTTTGAATCTGATGTTGGTCCTTTCTCCATGGAGCTAGGGATCACAATTCACAATTATTACACTACAATCAAACCCATGTAGGTCCATTCTCCATGTTAGATTGTTTGATCACAAACTTTGAGCATAATTTATAATCAACATTCTATATAAATATCAATAACGCTAAATATTTTTGCGTCAATACTAAAAGAAGAATTATTTTCTGTCTCTTTTATTGTAGCGCGGGTAAGTGGTTATCAATTTGCTTGACAAGGGCCCCCCTCCTTTACCACAGAAATTAGGTGTAGAAAAATTGAAACAAAGTAGGTGGCAAAGTGGTTCATCTTCTTAATAGCTATTGATGTTGAAAGGACCCTTAGCTAGCTAGTTCCATTTAATGCCATATTGCCAATTGGAAGAAGGCACTTTGCAATAGTGCATTTGATTACACATATTTTAAGCTCAAGCATATGCTAGGAGGAAGAATAATTAAACTTCACTTAAAAAGAACTTTGATTTTGATAGCTTTAATTTGGACGCGCATGGTGACTAGCTAGTATTTGGTTCTTCATAGTTCATCATACATAATGCTTTCTCCCTTTCGTTTACGTGTCCCGTATATTAAAAATAATTATTCACTTTAGCTCAAGTTATAAGAAATAATTGTATTTTTTTAAAAATAATCTAATTACCCTTTAACATTAAGTATTTGTTCTCGACCTTATGGAAATATATAGATGTGTATACTTTAAAAATAAACACTTGATTAAAGTTTTCTTAAAGTGAGTGCAATATATATATATAATGGACAAGTAAGAAAGAACAAGAAGAGTATATTATGTATCATTATAAAGATTTTGCATACTCTTTAAGAACGATATAAATAGCTTTTAATTACTCCCTCCGTCCACTATTGTTTGTCAGGTATACTAAAAATAGATGTCCAAAATTAATTGTCAATTTAAACAATCAAGAAATAATTAGTCACTTTTTTCCAATTCTACCCTTAATGATTACATAACTACTTATTTCAAAAAGTAGTCATTTTAAAGTTACAAGACTAATTTAATATGAAAAAAGTTGTTTTTACAATTTTCAAAAAGTACAAACCATTTTAATAATGATTGATAATAGGGCTATATTGTCAAATTGCACCTTATATTAAATTTTTCTTAAGGGTTGTGCATGACCTTATCCTGACAAACAATAGTGGACGGAGGGAGTATAAGAGAGACATATTGATTGTTGATAAATAAAAAATAATATTTATTTAAGAAATCATTTTTTTTAATCTCTTTCCTTAAATGTCTTAATACACTAATTGGTGGTAGAGATGTGCATCGGTCGATTCGGTTCGGTTCGGTTTTATGTATTATCAGTTCGGTTTATCGGTTTTCAGTTTTTAAATATGTTAAACCAATAATCAAACCAATAAGATATTTTTTATCGGTTTTTGGTTTATCAGTTTTGGTCATTAACGGTTCGGTTTTCGGTTTAACCAATAAGAAAATACTTATAAAACAAATATATGACTTTTCTAATAAATTTGATGCGAAAACACAATAATGTAACTTTACAAATGGTCATAAAATAGAAACAATAATAACAAATATGAAAAGAACTATAGAAGAGTAACACAAAGAGAAATTAAGAGGAATATGATTCTTACTTTAGATTTTAATGTTTTTTATAATGTAAAATTGTGAACTCAAAGTCATTGTGAAGTGTGAATTGAAGGCTAAAGGACACAGATAGTAACTACTAAGGTATTGAGATTAATATATAATATTTATGAACAAGTAAAAGTAGTAAATTACTAGTCTTAATGGGTTATCGGTTTACCCAATAACCCAATATTAAAACCAATACCGAACCGATAACCCAATTTTTTTTTTATAAAACCATTAAAAAATCGTTAACCCAATAACAATTAACCAATAACACTTTTATCGGTCGGTTGGATTTTTGCACACCCCTACTAATCGGAGCTATATGAATAGACATGAAAAAGAAAAAGGCTTCATATTTTTAAAAAAAAAATAATAAATTCATTTTTGTCAAAACAATCAATTATATTTAGAACAAATGATATATACTAATTCATATTTGCTTATTTACTCTTCTATGTTGATATACTTAGGTGTACAACTAACAAAACTGTCACATATATACTACTCGATATCTAGGTCACAATCATCAAGATCACGATTTCGATATAATGATGTTTAAAGTGCCAATAATTCATTATAAAAATCTTCATCTCTATTTGCCGTCTAAAATGAGAAGAACAAACTATAGGTGTTAAATGATTAATGGTGACAAATGTAAGACACTTATGAAATTAATCATAATCAAATACATGACTTTGATTTATCAATTTGCCTCATCGACTAATTAGCCTGTCGGCAGGACTCAAATTTTTGCACACACGGAACTAATAGAAAAACTACCAAAAAAAGGAAATGTTAAAATTTGACCATCTGTCAAAAATAATTACAACCGTTAATTAATATACAAAAAGACACACAAGTCACACGCAATGTAAAGTGTCATTGTTATATATCAGCTTAAATACCTTCAACACAATTGTATAAATACACGTGTACTCACTAAGAAAAACATCTCAACCAACTAACTAAGCTAGCTAATTGATCAATTTACCAAATCTACAAAATAAAATATCGCATATTTTTTCTTAAGGAGTAATCCGTTCAAGGAGGGGCTTGCGTCTGATTAGCTAGTTAATGAGGCAATAGCTGAGTTATGCTCTTTGTGGGACTTAATCCAACACCTTATGACATGAGCTGACGACAACCATGCATACATCACCTCTGTCCACGTTCTGACTTTTTTGCCTTATCATGCTTGTTTCTGGGTAAATTTTTTTGTAAAATTATTAGTAGCTAATTATATTGATACTAAGAAGGCAGGAAATTAAAATATTAAGGCTTTTAAAAGGTTTAAAATTAACAAATCAACAATCGACATCAAATATATTTTTGGTTCTTTCATTAAATTGGTATTCTTGCTACATGTTGTGTTGCTTAGCTGTTGCAGTGTCAAGGCGCTATCAATAACATGTTGCTAAATAGATGGATTTTATGAACGTTTATGAATGATAAATCATATCAAATTGAAAGTTGGATGCTATCATAAAAAAAAAGAAATTCTTAACTAAGAGAACAAAGAAGAGGTTCAAGTTGTAAGTAATAGTATAAACTCGTAATTATAAATTAATAATTTCTAAGATCATTTATAAACTATAGTTGTACACTTGTACTAGAACCATCTACTAGAACCATATACTGCGATAAATAGACAACTGAACTCATGACAATTGTCAAGATTTCTTTCAAGTAAAAGATATGTGGTGGTCAGTAGTGCAATAATGTTAAAGTAGATTTTTAATATGGGGCACTTGGGATTAATTTCAATCTCCATCACTGGTGGCACACACAATTTTCCACTTCACATTAATTGATATGACTTAGTTCTCATGTACATTATATTCAAATTCACTATTTGGAAAGCCATGAAAATTTCACAACCACAAAGATTTGGATATTATTCATTTCTTGCCCAAATCAGAGAGTACTTGTTGGATTAATTTTCCACACAATATTTGATATCAATTTTGAAGTTCCAACTAATTCATATAAATTCCCTTGCCGAGGGAAGGTTCTCCACTATATATATATATATATATATATATATATAGAAAACTCACTAAATTAATACTCGGTTAATTAATAACCTCTCTAAGATAATATTTTCTTTCGGTCCCGTCTTGAGCCAATGAAAAAAGTCACTCATTTCGATAAAGTAATATAT